CGATGCCTACATGGCTGGGGTCACTTGAGCCCAGTTTCTCTCCTGCCCAGGCAGGGGGTCGGACTTGAAGATCTGCAAGGTCCCTTCTGACCCTACTTCTATGATTCTATGAACTGTACTTGGTTTTCCAGACAGTGACCGAAGATTTCCTATTGACTTGATCAGGTCCAAGAGCAGGTCGCACAATGCTTTACGAACCATCAAGAGATGTTATTTGACCTAAGTTGTTCTTGACTTAAGGAGTTTACACATGGACTGATTTTGTTTCCAGTTCCACTTGTGTAAATAAGAGGTGTTTTCACTTGAGCCAGTGGTGAGAGAGGAGATTCAGAACCAGTGTCCTGATTCCCTGTGTAAAATATCAGGTACTCTTGTAGGAACAATGCACAAATTCTGAATACATTATTAACAGTGAAGAGCTATAGAAGCATGAACTGTCACTTGAGTGGAGTCGCATTAGGGCTAATGGATGAATTATAAGCTTCTGTCATTTTTAGCTTTGCCATTGGATTAAACAAAGTTCTGACAATATCACCAGATCCAAGCCAGTTTACAAATGCTATTGGGTCAATTTAAAAAAAGATAGCTTATTAAAGGAACATCTCTAGTCATACCAGGCTTCTACCATGATACAGTATAGACTTTATATTATTTAGGCCTAAAAATGAAACAGAAGTTCTTTTGTGAACAGAGACTTGGAAAATTAATGTCCTCTGAAGCAAGTCTAATGTGTAAAGAAATAACTAGTCAGAGAGTTATGGATACAAAGCTCAAAAAAGTACAAAATTTAGAATACTGAAAAATAACTTATTTATGAATGTCCTTGCAGTTACAAAACTGAGAGTTAAATTCATGCTTCAGATATGAAAATAAGATTGGACTGGATACCTTCTGCATATATTTACAGCACAGAATGAGAAATGAGAAATGGATAAATAAATATATGCAGGCATGCTTGGTAATATCTAATACAAACCACCTCCTGGCACTCTAACAGCATATGTGCTATGAAGTTTTTGTTAAAATTGGAGATGTTTTATATCAAATTGAAGCAATTACAGAGGTATGAGGGGGAGAGTATCATGAATAGGGCTACCAGCATTGTCTATAGTTAGGTTGCCCAATACTTGTCATTATGAGACCCCATTTTTAGTGGCTTGTAACGTGGTTACACACACACAGAGCAATTTTTAGTAGTACAAGACATCTTCCATTTTAAAACAAAAAAAAAATGGTGCAAGTAAAGTTAGCTTTATACAAAGAGTAAAAGCACAATACTGGATAAAACATGCTACCTACAGTGGAGACATGAATAACTAATATCCAGTCCTATTGCATATCAGGTAGGTATCACTGTGATTTGCTCCTTATAAAAGATTAGAGGTTATCTGCATGGAAAACCTGCTGTTCAAACTTGACTTAATGAACCATAGTTCATTAAAAATAATAACAATAATAAATCCTGAAGTCCTCACTAAGTCAAAACTTGAACAATCCTATTGAAATACAGGAAATGACACTCCATGCCATAGAAAGCTGGGTCCTTCTGTATATGAATGCATCCCTCTAGTCTGCAGTCCTCATTATTTCTATTCCTAACAGCATTCCTCCTCACTGCTCACATTATTCACACACTTAAGCAACTGGTGAGCTGGGTATGGGTACCCAGACACACTTCCTGCAGCATCTGGGGGTGCTTGTTTGGGTTCCTTTAATACACAGAGGCAGAATTTAACCTAGTTTATTTTTTCTCTTTTGTATTTTAAGTGACATACAAGTATTTTCTCTTCTCTCCCATTACCAAAGAGCCTCTAGTGCAGGTATCCAAATGAACTAGAACAAGCCCACTACCTGCAGTTTGAACTATAACACCATATTTAGGGATATGTTTTTGATTTAAAAGTTCTACATCTGAGTCTAAACACACTGCTTGACCATGAAGGAAGCAAAGGCCTTCAAAGATTATCTTACCCTGCTGTGCCTAAGTAGCCTGAAGAAAATGCCTCCTAGTTCATTAGTGTGATTTATCTACAGGCAATAAATCTGTAGAATAGCCACATCTGTCCATTTGGCATCTACTTGTTGCAGAGAAATGACACAAAACCATGGCAAAATGCCTGTCTATGGGCATGATCCAGTGAGATGCGGGGTGCCCTCAATTCCCATTGAAGTCAGAGAGTAGACAATGCTCAGCAACTCGGAAGCAGAATTTAGGGCATTTGTACATATGGTTGCACCGCAGCGCCGGGTACTTTTAAAAGCATGCAGTTGTATAAACGGTGACATGCATGTCAGCACTGAGAAAATAGCGGCGGTGCGCTTTTGAACTAAAACACATCAGAGGTGTTTTAGTTC